TTTTTGTGAAAGAGACCAGTGATCAATAATGTGTTTGGGTGTTGTGGCTTGGCGTTACACACCTACTCAGCTGTGTGCCTCATGTTTTGTGAATGAGTTGCGTAATTTGGTTGTTTAGGAGGTGTTACAAATGCAGTAAGTAGGCTGACGCTGTTCTGAGTTGAGTTGTTTCTGTAAAGTGGGTGTGCCGTAGCTTATTGGGGGTGAGTCTCTGTGTCGCTGTGCTATGAAGCGGATTAATGGTGCTCGAGTTAGCCTGCATACAGGCTTAAGTTGCTGCTGTTCTCTATCCCTGTAAGGCTAAAGGGTGAACTCCCTTGGGATCATCTGTAGTGTGGTGTGAAAGTGGTTGGAGCAGTTATCTTTGGAGCACCTATGAGGCTGCAGGTGGAGTCACCAGTTTGATTGCTTCACCAGATTACATTCTGATACAGGGAATGGGTTTTACTGGGTTGCATGTTCCAGTGCCTAAGTTAGATCTTGACTGTGGCTTGGAACAGGGTGAGGTAGCCAGGGGTTATGCGCCCTGCACTGCCAATCCCAGGAAGGATATCATTCTGGGGAATTATCTGTGTGGTAGCTAGCTGTCTTTGATCTCCTGTGATGACAGCCTCTCCTTTTGTCACTGCAGTGCAGAGTGCTTCCCAGATGTGTTCACAGTGACAAGGCAGAGCCTGCAGTTGAGCAGAGCAGCACAGAGGGGACTGGGACCTCTGTTTCCATGCCTGTCTCTCTTTTGCCGGTTTCTCACAGCATACTGGTACTGTCAGAGGCTGATGGGAAGAGTGCTGCTATGGGTTATCTGTGTCAGGATCAGTTGTTGGTGAGGAAATGGGTTCCTCATGGGGTAAATCGTTTTGGGGATTCGGTTTTTCAGGTTGTTGATCTATCAAAGTTTAGCGAAGAGTGCAACATCCTCTGTCCTTAACCATCAACAACAGTAAGGAAAAGTACCCCCCCCCCCAAAAAAAAAAAACTATTAACGGGGAAGAAACGTAGATACCTCAGAGAGACCACATGTGAGGGATTCCTCTCTCAGGATGAACATTGACATTTACAACATTGATTTCAAGAAAAAGTTTGTCACATTATGCAAAAGTGTGTCATTGTTTAAATTATTTGTACATAAGATAATGACTGATAGAGGTGAAGGGAGCAGCAATGACAAATTAATTGAGGAGTTATTGTCAGTAATGGTAGAGTATGTGAGTAGGCATATTGTATATCAAGCAGTCTTTTTGTAATCTTAGTCAATCATCAGCTGCCACCACGATCAGGATCCACCATGATCCACAATCCATCGTCATGATCCACTAATACGATTATGATCCGCCATCACAATTTCTCTTTCGCGATCCACCATCATGATCCACGATGTGGTTGCAGCTGCGTCTCTGGATTCTGGGAAAGCAATCAAGTCAGTAATATGTATTAATGAGACATCAATGTGATAAAGTGTCATATGACCACCGACATTCTAGACCTATAGCAGCATAATTAAGAGTAGGTCCAAGACAAGCCTGGACCAGCACTAACTATAAGCTTTATCATAAAGGAATGTTTTAAGCCTGGACTAAACTTGGAAACTGGGAGATGATTCCATAGGAGAGGAGCCTGATAGCTGAAAGCTCTGGCTCCTACTCTGCTTTTCGATACTTTAGAGTCAACAAGTAAGCCTTTTCTTAATTGATTTCATTGTTCTGGTTTTATTGATACGTATAGCTGGGTGTCATCTGCATATATAAAGTGAATAAAATTGGGCCAAACACAGAACCATAACGAACACCTTGATTGACTTTGGTGCGCACAGATGACTCATCTTTAATTTGCACAAATTGCAATCGATTTGATAAATAGGATTCAAACCAACTTAGAGACGTTCCTTTAATGCCAATTAACTGTTCTAGTCTCTGTAATAAGATGTGATGATCCAATGACCGGTAAACCAGTGAAACAGACTATTGTTCCCCATTCCTACCATTTCTCAGCCATTTGAGCATTTGATAATAGATTGTGTTGGTCCCTTACCACACTTAAAGTCTGGAATTAACAGTAAATGGTCAGGTCTGAGACGAAATTAGCACTTTTGTAGTCTTGATGACCACTCAAAGTATCTTGTCCAAAAACACTTCAGCATGCAGATGGGGAAGAGGACAACTGCTTTACTGCCAATAAGTAAGTATGAATTACTTACTTATTGGTAAGTACCCCTGTCCCAGAGAGCTAAAGTGAGTTTAGGAAGCAGACACAGAGAGGAACAGTTTGTGAATGAACAGAGTTTTTAATGAAAAAAGCTTGTGACAGGCAGGCAACTGGCTGAAGTCTGGCTGAGGTTGAGCAGGAGAGAGGGCAGGCAGGTTGAGCTCTGGCGATCCTGAGGTACAGGGATAAACAAAGTTAGTCGCTTGCACACAAATGCACGGGTGTCTGGAGACATGGACAGCCACCAGAACCTCTGCCAGAAAAGATGAGGGTGCGGTGAAAGCTTGGGTGGCAGGTGAGCTTGGAGGAGTGCCCCCACTGGAGGACCCAGGCTGACTCGGGCACAAAAAGTGTGTTAGGTGGGCCATTACCTGGGTCAGGGTGTGACTGTTGGGCCTCCCGTACCAGGGTCTCCACCTCCCATGTGGCGGCTCCAACCACACAGGGGGGAGGAAGGATGGTCTCAGGCTCAATGGTAGCCTTTCTGGAGCTGTTTGGTGAGAGAGGGCATCGTACTTGGTGTTGTGGGTTCCAGGACGGTATGTGAGTGTATAGTGGCCTAGAAACAGTGCCCAGCAGGCCTGGCGAGAGTTCAGCTGCTTGGCGGAGCGCAGATAGGCAAGGTTCTTGGAGTTTGGCTCCCTCCAGCCAATGTCACCACTCCGCCAGAGCCAACACCACCACTCAGAGTTCCCGGTTGCCTACGTCGTAATTCCTTTCTATCTGTCCTCACCTGCCCCTGCTCAATGATAAAACCCAAGAAGCTCACAGATGTTACATGGAACTCACATTTTTCTGCCTTAACATACAGTTTGCTTCTGAAAGGCAGCGGAGTACTGGCAGGACATACTGAATGTGCTCCTCCTTATTCCGGGAGAATATCAGGATGTCATCAAGGTATACGAAGAAGAAGCAGTTCAGCATGTCACAGAGGACATCATTGACGAGGGCTTTGAAGACAGCGGGGGCGTTTGCGTTCCTTAGGTCCAGCTTAGAGAACACTGAGTCTTGATGAAGTGGCTCGAAGGCAGGGTCAATTAAGGATATTTATTTTTAATGGTGATCTTGTTTAGTCCCCTAAAATCAATGCATGGGCGGAGTGTATTGTCTTTCTTGGCCACAAAAAATAATCATGCGCCTACAGGGGACGAGGACAGACGAATGAGTTCAGCTGCCAGGGAGTCCTTGATATAATTCTCCATGGCCTCCCTCTCAGTGTATGGTCTATGTGGAGGCAGTGTCTGAGCCTTTAATTTGCAAAAAAAACTCAGCTAGATCGTGGCATTCAGGAGAGACGTGGATGAGATCCTGAGACACTGGTGTAAGTGCTGGGCTTTTCTGAGAGGGGACCTGGGCAGACTGCAGGCAATGGGAATAACAAAAGAGGCTCCAGCTGATTACAGAGCAGGTTGACCAGTTCATGTGAGGGTTGTGCATTCTTAGCCAGGGCTGAACAAGGACTATAGGGGCATGAGGGGAGGGAATGGCCTGTAATTTCAGCTTTTCACAGTGGTTTCCAGACAGAATCAGTTCCACCTGATCTGTCTGGTGGGTGATGTGGGCCAACCACCTGCCAACTAGGGCATTAACCTTGCGTGGAGAGGGGATGGCTTCCTGGGAAATGTTGGCCTGAAGAACAAGTGATGTGTCGATGAAGTTGTGCTGCTCCGGAGTCCACAAGGGTGAGGAGGGGATGGTGATGCCATGAAAATTTAGAGTGGCATCGAACTGCATGCGTGAGTGAGAGAGTGAAGTGGTGGCACATGTGTGACTCATCAGATCCTCTCTCACATCTGATGAGCCCTCTCTTTTGGCTGGGATGGACAAGCAGCAAGTGTCCCGCCTTACCGCAGTAAATTCAAAGTCTCAGGAGTCGCTGGCGCTCCACTGGTGAGAGGCGAGCATGACCTAGCTGCATGGGCTCTTCTGCTGAGAGGAGAGGTGGAGGGCTTGTGGAATTCGTCAGGGAGGGAACACCAGCTGACTGGGGACAGGAAGTTAGCCTGGGTGGAGCTCGAGTGTTAGGGGAGTGACTATGCTGCCCCCTGCGGCGCTCACAGATGCAGTTATCGATACGTTTAGATAAGGTTATGACTGCGTCTAGACTGTCTGTCTCGTCTCTGGTCGCTAACTCGTCCTTAAGATATTCAGCTAGCCCGAACACCCCTTGTAAAGCTAGTTCATCCCACCCAGACTGTGCTGCGAGAATGCAGAACTCTATGGCGTACTCTGCTACTGATCCTTATCCCTGACGTAGTGTGATGAGCTGGTTTGCCACTTCCTTTCCCTGGACCGGATAATCAAAAATCTTTCTCATCTCTGCTATGAAGGCAGGATATGACTGACAAATGGGTGACCCTCTATCCCACAAAGCAGTAACCCACTGAGCTGCCTTACCTGCTAAGAGACTAGGGCTGTTTGGTATACCGGTACTAAATTGGTACCGGGGTACTGATGCATTTAAAATGGTACTATATAGCGCTTGGATAAGACCGGTACTTTTTTTTTTTTTTACATCGCCGCGTGACGTCAACACGTACCATTTTGAGCCGAAGCGAGCAAGCCGGGGCGAGCAGGTGAGCAGGAGTCTGGAGAGAGAGAGAGATTAAGGAGAGGAAGAGAGACAGGAGCAGAGAGAGAATGGCAGCTACTGCAACCATCACCATGCCGCAACTCGTAGATAAACCAGGTGCGCGAAGTGCTACATGGAATTACTTTTGCTTGAAAACTATTGAGCACCGTGAAGCCATTAACACCGATGCACCACTGTGCAAACGGTGTTACAAACATGTGTGGCCATGGGTGGAAACACTTCCAACTTGACAAAACACTTGAAGGAAAAGCACCCAGACCTGCACAAGGAGTTCAGAGAACGACAGGTAATAACTTATATACCCATGAAAAAAAAAGCCACATTCAGTGCTAAAAGCAAGCAACCCCAGCCCCCTTCACTCTCCACAAAAGTAGCTCTAAAACATTTTTTTAAATTTAAGCCTGTCTTTGTGGTATTTTATTTTATTTACTGATGCATAATGTTATAGTGCTAAGATTTTCTATTAAAATAAAGTCAACAATGAAATTTTTTGTGTTTTCTTATTATTTCGAAAAGTACCAAAAAATATTGAAATACATGTTGGTACCAGTACCGATACCAAAACGTTGGTACCGTGAAAACACGATAAGAGACCGATGATGAAAGCCACACGGGACTGATACGTGGAATACGTCATTGGCTGCTGTTGGAACACCAGGGATTACTGGAGCAAAAACCAACCAAGGAATCCATGTCTGCCGGGTCTATCGTAGGCCAGATTGCTCTGTTAAGATTTTGTTGTGACTGGACCCAGAATCAGACACAGAGAGGAGCAAGCAAAAGGTTGAAGGCTGGCTGAGGGTGAGCAGGAGCGGGGGCAGGCGGGTTGAGCTCTAGTGATCCAGAGGTACAGGGAAAAACAAAGTTAGTCGCTTGCACGAAAAACAAGCGAGGAGTTTCTTTCTCTAGAAAACTCTATGAGTGCAGCGAAGAGTGTGTACCACAGGAGTGACTGTAACAATCTGGCGATGAGTGGAGGAGAGACCAGGATATTTGTAGAGCTGGTGATGAGGATGATTGAAGCCAGGTGTACAACTCACGCCAGGTGCCAGGAGTAGAGACCATGCCCATGCACACACACACACACACAGACAGGAGGAGGAAAAGGAGGAGGGGCACAGAAAACACCATGGAAATGGATCGAGCCGTGACAGTTTTCATTACCTTGTTTAGCCTGTTTTCATATTCTGTGATGAGCTTTGGATTGAGAAATGCACCAGCAACCTTTCAGTGCCTTATGAACATGGTTGTGTCTGGGTTCGAGGACTGTGTTATGTACTGCCTGTGCGATGCCAACCTAATAGCATTGTCTCATTCTTGATAGGATAGGGGAGTATCTCCTGAAATTGGGCCTTTACAGCTGTAGGTATGCCAGATGCTTTATCATGGTTACAATTATAAAGATGCAAATTGTACCATCATTGGTGTACCAGACTTTATAGTCATGGTTATGATAATAAACACATATTGAAGCTTATGGAACAGTTGCAGTTTGGTTAGGATAAGGCAAAAATAACTACCACTTCCCATGTGCAATAATCACTGTGAATTTCTGGTATCTTTGTATAGTGTTTACATTTTTGCTTGATACATTTATATGTATATTTATTCTTTTTTTTAATTTTATTTCTATATTTTAATTTTTCTCTATCTTAATGCCCTTCTGCTGCTGTAATGTGGAAGTGTCCCCAGTGTGGGATGAATAAAGTCTATCTTATCTTATCTTACTTGCTGAGATTTAAGGAAAGATTGTAGTTTGGCTTGAAATAGATGTTTAAGTTTAGAGGAGCTTCTATTATGTGGTTACAGTAATAAACATTGGAATAACCATGATAATAATTACATTCATAAACATGTGGTTGAGACTGAGATCCATCCACCTCAACCTCCTCCTGATGTGGGCCCATCTATCCACCTCAACCTCCTCCTGATATGGATCAGCTGTAATGTTGACACATGCTCCTGGTATGTCGGCTGTGATGTCGACACATGCTCCTGGAGCCGAGCTGCAAAGCGTCCAGCAGAAATTGCTGGCAATTTAAGTTAAATTTACGTTTTAGTTAATAATGATGCTGAAAAACAACTCCTTTGTCTCTGTCTGTGTTTGGGAGACCCCAGTTGCATCAACTTGTGCCACAATATGATACAATGATACTTATTTAAATGAATCAATCATTTGTCATCATATGGTATGAATGACATCATGATGTCATCATTATGAAATGTATTACAATTAAATAATTGGCTTTGCCTGTTTGTGGAACAGGGTATGCATCGCCCTTCTGATGAATATCATTAATTGTTGCTGTTATTACAATAGATTACCAATACTACAGGCAACAATCTCAGTCTAGGCTGAACTGTAGTAGTTGCAGTCATGTTTGTCAATAGTGTGGCATCGTATGCTATCATTTACACATGCAGTGAGTGTTGTGTAATCTGATCCACACCTCCCCACGTACCTTACTCTACATCCATGTCTGCTTTATTGAAGGTGGCAGATAGAAGCTGAGCTATTTCCGGGAACGTGAAGATGGAAAAAAAGGAATCAATAATAGGGCAAAGACAAACTTTACTCTTGTTGTCTAGTTTCTCAACTTTTACATCCTGTTGGATTCATAGACCTAATCTTTGTGTCTGTCATAGTACAAGCTTCCACTCACTGTATGGAAACTTTGTTGTAATTTCTTTGTATTATGAGGCACAGAGGGAACTTGAAAGCATCTGTGTTATTTTATCATGCTATAAAATGTACTATAAACTATGTCAAATATTTTGGATTGGATCCCAGATCCTTTCTAGGATGTTACATGCCTTGCTCCTTTTTATTAGTCCTGTTTTAAGGTTTGTTTATGGTTAATAAATCAAGAAACGTTTGATCAAGTGAATTCTTCTTCAGTAGATCCTGCGGGTTAAAACTGGTCCTTTAATAAAAGAGCTGTGTCCGCCCCCTGTGCTACCTTTTAGCATTCACAGCTTGAGCTGGTCTAGAGTTTTTGAACTACAAATGGATTTTCGTGTTTTTTTCCTCTTTGATATTACCCGTTTGTTGCCAGTTCTGTGGATTTTCTATTGTTTTCTTTGCTGCTCATGCTGAGCTCTTCTGTTTACACAAGACAAATACAAACATAAATCTTATTACTTCCTGTGTGGCAGAGGAGTTCTCTAAGCAAAGGCCTACCAGCTGCCAAGTATATAAAATACAGCAAATGTAAAGTGACTTATGCAGTTTCACATTTCAGAGGCCACCTGCACTTATGAAAATTAATTAGCATGACCAGTTCATATGATCAGACTCTGTTAGTTACTTCTTAAAAAAATGCAACAAATCTGTCTATCAACTTTTATGAAGTGTCTGAGAGGCGGACTAGCAGTCTGTTACCCAGACAGAGGCTCTGAGCTGTGTGAGAGACGAAAGCTGCTTTTAAACTGCATCCCTGAACTTGACATGTGTCAGTGCAAATGTCTGAATCATTTGAACAGGACATTGCATGTACCCTGACAGTTACCTATACTGCAGAGTCTGTGTAATGTCTGATGGAGTAAGTAAAGTGAAATCTGGAGAATTCACAGTGTTTGAGTGGTAAATGTTATTGATGTTTCTATCATTTCCCCTGCAGGCTTTACCCAGCTGCCTCATAAAACCAAACCGAATACTTCCAGTATGTGTGAGCATGTCTCTCAATAATCTCCAGTTGTGTGCTGCATCTGTGAAAGGTCAAATGTGGACTGTCATGGGGTTACCCCATGCCCTGTAATATATAAGGTGGCAAACACTTATACACCATTAGTTGCAGCACCTCAGTAGCATTAGCATGGCTGTAGCATTAGGTAGCATGGTAGTATGTTAAGCTAGCACTCACAAACCATTTAATCTTTCTAAACTGTATTGATACACAGACTCGACAACCTATAGTCAGAAATAATCTCTGAGACACACAGGTTTATTTCACAAACATTTATTCAATGTTTTGGGTACATGTGTTTGTGATGTTATATCCACCCTCCCTCACAGGGCCCTGGTCCCACTGGCAAACAGGAAGTGGGAGATTCCAACTCCATTTGTAGAGAGGGGAATCTGGAGTGTACCACATAAAAGCCAGTCCAGAGGGGTGTTTTAAATGATATCACAGAAATGCTCTTTTGAAGGTCCAGTGTGTAAGATTTAGGTGAAAGAGATCTATTGGCAGATATTTAATATAGAATAATCCTCATGATGTTTTCACTAGTTCATTTCATCTAAATTGTATGAATTGTAGTTTTCTTTACCCCAGAAAAGGCCCTTTAGATTTAAATACTTGTCATGTTTTTACATTAGTCCAGACAGCACAAACTAAACACTTTAGTTTTTATGACGACTGAAGGCTACCACAGTTTATTTTTCATGTTTGGAAGGAGAGGGTGAGGTGAGGGGTGTTCAGCTGCAATATACAATTTCAACACTGGATATCACTAAATTCTACACACTGTACCTTTAAATGCCCATCTAATATAATGTTGGGATATTTCTGTGACAGGCTAGGTCGGATGAAATGCTGATGGGTATGTATACATTTTTCAATGTCATGTTTGGTAGAGATTTGTTAATTGATATTTGTCTTAATGGTTTATTGTAGGAGGGGCTTCCGCTATAAAGCCCAGGGTGTAGATGCTCTGCAGGGGGAGTTAAGCTTTGGCCTGGAGGCTGTGTGTACTAGAGCCCACGAGTCAGTGGCCTAGTATGGTATTTTACTTCAGTTTGCAGAGTTTTGGGGGTTTTTGTGTTTAGTATTTTTCCTTTTTTTTCCTCAACTCTGCACATTTCCACACTGTACCTGCACAGGACTGGTAACAAGAATAAATTTAAGCACCAGGTGAAGTCGAGTCCTGTCTCCTTCTTCCACCATGGGGCTCATTATTACATAGACCCTTTGTGGACCAGATTTTTTTTCACATTTTCACATTTCATATGGGAAAATTGCTAAATTGCGAAAGGTATTCTGTCCTACTTCCCTTCTCTTTGAGTGATCACTTTTCATGTAGCAGTTGAAATCCAAGCATATTGACAAAGATTTTTGCTATAGAAATTTTTTGAATTAATATTAATCTATTCATTCAAATCTAGAAATCTTTTTTTTTTTTAAACACTGTTTTATATATATTAACTTGGATGTAGATTGACTTTAAAATATGATTGTGGCATAGGATGATGCCACTGGGGTCTCACCACAACAGCTAGTGACAAACCATTCGCTTTTCAGCATTTTTATTAAACAAACATAAACTCACAAATCTCTAAACTTAGTCAAAAACAGATTAATAATTATATTTAGGGTCATCAGAGGTTAAGGTCACAGTGGCCTCACAAAACATATTTTCGGCCTCTTGACCCTCATATGTGTCTGTCTTTAGGAAATTCCTTTCATTTTTGAACAATTGTCACTGAAAAATGAACTGATTAGATTTCGGTGGTCAGAGGTCAAGGTCGTAGTTACCTCATGTAATTGTGAATGCACAATATAAATATGACGCAAATATTCACTGTGTACAAAGAGCTGTTCATCTGTTTATCCAGAGAGGCTCAACTCAGTACGCAGAACCCTGCACTGGAGAATCAGTTGTTGTGAAGATACCCGTTATCATGAATGCACTGTTGTTGTAAACGACATTGTTACTTACATTGATGAGTCCCAGTAGCCACTGCTACAGAGCACTGATCGCCTGTTTATTCAACATTCATTTGACACATTACATTGCACTTCGCTAGGCCCTTCACAATACACATGCAAAGTGTAAGATGAACTGTCCTGAAGATATGTGAGCCACATACAGACAGACAGAGTTTTCTGGAATTATTCGATGAATAATCATACATGTCAACCTAGAGTGATACTTCACATTTTAGACTCAAACTGCACAGGTTGGCAGTGGTATACAATCGACAGGCAGTAACTCTAGATGTCTTTTGTTCTCCCTTTGAGCCATCCATTTGTTTATGTGAATTTTAGAAAAAGCTTGTGCTAGTTTTCACAGCTTAGATGCACAGGGAAATGATTTCTTTATTCAGATGAGTCATTCCATCTAAATGTAGATGGACCAGACAATAATAACACAAAATGGTTCTCTGAAATGCTGTCACAGTGACATCCTGGTTTCACCCTCAGTTCCCATGGAGCTGTGGTAAACAGAGCATGAATCACCATTGAAACTCTTGATTGATGAAGATTTAACAAAAGCAAATGTACCTTGTTATTAAAGTGAAAGAAAACCAGAATTCCTCCCATGTGGTGGAAACATTCTGCAAGGCATTTAAAAGAATGATTATCTAGACCTCTGAATGAAGAGTTCTTTTCTTTATTATTATCATTATTATTGTATTTTTCAGATGACAAAACCTGGTGGAGGCAGGAGGCGTCGACAACCCAGCATCACCTGAAGAACTGGAAGGTGAGCGTGCATCACAGCAAAGCAGTCTTTTCTTTTCCAGCTGACCAGAGGTGGAGCAATCAGTGAAGATTCATTATGCATAACTTTCCCTCCAGTACAGTTTATCTGTATTCTGTAAGAGCATACAATGTATCCACAGATCTCATCCTAAAGGAGAGGTGTTTACTTCTGTTTTGAATAAAAGGAAAAGGTGACAGGCTGTGAACTCAGGTCTCCTGCTTATAAGTCTGAAATGAAGTGAAGTGAAACACATTTATCAGTGAGCTAACAACTACAGTATATTATTAGTTGCCTAACTTTATATAGAGAGAGATAAAAGAAACAGTGGTAACAATTTACAGCTAGGGTAAATAAGCCTGGAAAAGATAGCGAGTGCAGGCTACACTTCCCATTGGCCCTCTCGTCAAAGCTCTGCATCCAAAAGACATGCACTGACTGCTGGACGACAACTTTTCATGCACAGCGGGAGCAGGGTGAGGGTGCACGCAGGCAGGTCATTAGTGACAGCCCATCATTTCGCTCAGTCAAAATTAAATGATTTTTTTTTCTTCAGACGACTTTGATCATTGATAGCTATAGAGACGTGAAGGCGATTTCAACAAATAAGATAAAGACAGAATCACAAACTCTACCTTTAACCTACAATTACTCACCACATAACATACTTATTGTTGCGGTTTAATTCCGGGGTTACAGAGCACTTTTAAATGTTGTATTCTGTGTGACCACATTCTATAAACACAAGATCATTAACAAACAGTTTTCCCCATGATCATTTTCTAATTACTGCTTTTTGATAGTAAGTGTGGAAGCACAATAATTACTTTTTCAACATGCTTTGCTCAGTGTGAGCCTTATAAGGTAGTAGAACCACATGAACAGTCATTCTCACTTAATAAAGATCTCAATAAAATCTAAGTGGACATGCATTATTTTCAAGATAAAGACCTTACTTTTTAGAATAGGAAACACATGCTTAGTTAAGACTTAATGTAGAGTTAATTGGACATTATTAAATCAATGTATTGTGTTTTGTTACAAAAGAATTGACTATGAGCATTATTAGTGTCTCACTAAGTGTTATTGAGAGAGAAAAAAGCTTCACATGGTACCAAATTAGTTTATCCACATTACTCTATACAAACTTAATATCCAGCAGTAAAAGTTAATGCTATTAACATAACATGTCAAAATTGCTCTCAGCAATTGTTTTATTTCAGGCTTTTGTTAGGGCCCCTCTACTCATGTTGAGGTCCTGAGTAGTGGAGATCATTTCAGCTGAATTTTCAGTCATCTTCCTCTCACATGTTTTATGGAACAGATACACCTTTACTCTACTGAACTGCCTACAGAGGTAACCTCTCATGTTTTACTTACACGATACAGGCCTAAACCTGGCAACTGACAAGCTCCACTCTGTCTTTACCCTTCTTTAATGAAAGGATGTCTGACAATCAGAGGGAAAAGTAGGCCAGTAGGATATGCTGGCAGACTGTCGGCATATATGTTTCACCCCCACTACACTGCCCATTTGATCTGGGCTTTAAGTTCCTGCCAGACACTGCAGAGAAACTCATTTCATAAGTGATGTTAAAATATTAACCTTACCTGTCCAGTGGGAAAGTGTCATGTGTCAATTAAGTAATTAAAAAGGGGAAGGTGTTGGTTTCCCATATGACTGTAGAGAGAGAGGGCCTCTACATAGGTACCATCATCGAAACAGGATGGATCAGCTTACCCAAGGCAGCTTTCACTTTCCACAATGTATGTAACACTGTAGAGCATTCAGTTCAATGCAAATACTTAGTCCTAGTGGTATGGCTCCAGGGATGGCTAAGTCCTGGAGCCATTGGTCAGGCACCACTGAGATCTAGACTGAAACATGACAATGGTAACATTCCCCTGAGCATGAGTGTCTGTAAAGATGAGTTTTCATCTAACTGGTCAGCAGGTCAAAGTTTGCTGCTCTCCAGTGAAATATCTAAGAATCCCCAAATAATGTGAGAGGATGTCGAATTAATCAAAAGTATTAGAATATGTTACCGACCTTAAGTAATTTAATGGATACCTTACAAATTACATTTAAGGGCATGTATTCTATAACATGCAGTCAGATTAGTTTTAAAAATAACCGCTGGACTTGCCTATTTCTGCTCCAGCTAGTACATGGGGTAACATACCTGACATACCAGCATAGGTAGCAGCTCCACCTGACAGGACCTACTTTTGGTTGAGAGTGAAATGATCCCCATCATGAGGAGTGAGACAGACTGTCAACACTGTGGGTTAACGTTTTTCTAATGAGCTTGACATCCAGACTCCAGACTATGGTTACGTTTAGGTAACAGAAGAACTTTGGTGTTTTTTGTGTCATGCTTCTCATCAAACTGTGATCTTTTTACAGGCCATGATCTTTTATTAAACAGATCCATAAAAAGTTAATAATTCTGAAATCATATTATATATCAGATAACCTCATGTTAATAAATGGTTTGTATTTATATAGTGCTTTTCTAATCTTGATGATCACTTGAAGTGCTTTGTTCCCCACAAAACATTGTTGTTTGTGTAGTGAAAATGTTATTTCTGGGAGCTCGAAGTTGTTTAATTGCTGTAGTTCCCAAATTTCTGTGTCATATTATTACAACTTGGTGACTTCTAAGCCTGTTTGCCCAGCACTGGACAAAACCTCTACACAAAAGTATCACTTAATCCTACAATTTGGGAGCTCCTTAAACACATACAACCCTGTCCACATGCATCCCACAGTAACAGTGTGTTCCTTGATACTGTCAGGTGTTGTTATGGGTGGTGGCATCGTTGCTGACACTGGTGGAAGATGTGTTTTCTGAGGACAGTAAAGAGGCTCAGTCGGACATCCAGCGTGTCCTCGGGCAGCCCTCCTTGTCTCCTGGAGAGGACCTGGGACAGGACAGCATTGCCCACATTCCCTGGCCTGATGCCTTTGGTAAGTAATTTACTGTCTTATCTCACCAGCAAGCTGTCCAGTATCACTGTTTGCGGCGGTCAACAACAAATTCGGGCACTTCAGTCTGGACTTGTCAGTTTGGCACACACACTCAGTGATCAGTGGAGTGCACAAAATCAGGCAGTTAAAGGTCAAGAGTTACAGTCAAAGTTCATGTCAAACATCAGGATGAAGAATGAAATCTCAGTGACTTCGGGCGGGCTGTGGCTGAGGGGTAGAGCGGTTGTCCTCCAACCAGAAGTTCAGGAGTTTAATCCCCAGTCTTTCCCATCTGCAATGCCCTTGTCAAACCCCAAATGGCCCCCTCATGGAACTAAAAGTGCTACATGCACTGTATGAATGTGTGTGTGAATGGGTGAATGGCAAACTGTACTGTAAAGCACTTTGAGTGGTCATCAAGACTAGAAAAGCTTTTTATAAATACAAACCATTTACCATTTTACTTTGCTTATGGCATGATAGTATCTCTAAAACTGTTGATCTCCTGAAATGTTGTTCTGTTGATTAGAGGTAAGTCAGGTCAGAGCAGGGTGTCCATTTTTCAGATCAGTTTCATAATTAACAAAAAACAACTCAAGTGCTCAGAGATAGTTACCTTAGTGCTTGGCTCTGTTGATTCCTTGTAAAGCTGCCTGCAGCACTATTTGCCTCATGCTGGCTCTGTCTCTCCCTCTTGCATGTCACGCTATCCTCCATGCAGTTAGCCAGACCTTATACATGTAGTTTCAGCTGCAGCTATATGTGTACCTGCAAGTGGCATTCGATTAAGTTCTCTTACCTGAGAACTTCTCTTTTTAATCTCTTGTCTGTGTGCCAGTCTCACAGGCTCTGTTGTACAAAAGAGCAGATTTCAAATTAGTGGCCATGCTAGCTGTATTGCTATCATCATATGGCTTTCTTGTGGTACAAAGCCTATGATATTTAACCAGGCAGCCAAAATGCTCCAATATATGAGACTTAAATGATGCAAGAGGTTTCTTCAATTCTACCACTCCTTCAGTAGCCATGGCTTTCACTGTCACAACTGCTTTGATTTAAAGGTTCAGTGTGTAAGATTTAGGTGAAAGGGATCTATTGACACAATTTTAATAAAAAATTATCCTCATGATGTTTTCACCAGTTCGTTTTATCTATATTATATGAATTGTTGTTTTCTTTACCCTAGAAGGGGGCCTTTATATTTAAATTCTTTATTTTTACATTGAGGAGGTCCTCTCTGTGGAGGCTGCCATGTTTTTTACATTAGTCCAGACTGGACAAACTAAACACCTTTTGAGTTTTTATGACAACTGAAGCTACCACAGGTTCTTTTTCATGTTTGGAAGGGGAGGGTGAGGTGAGGGGTGTTCAGCTGCAACATGCAATTTCAACACTAGATATCACTAACTTCTTCACACTGTACCTTCAACTGCATCTCTGCATTGAAATGTTGCACAAGATTAGGCTTCTTTAAAAAGTCAAAGTCACAGTTAAACTGTATTATAGTGACCCTATCCAGTCAGCCTATCAGCTCCCATGTTCTAAGCCAGTCAAGATGGTGCATGTTACGTAGTTACTATTCATGCTGCTTGTTGGTTGACTTTAGTGAGTTGGTGTGGAATTATAAAGTTTTTCTTGGGTTCAGGTTTTATGTTGGATTCTGCCTGAATGAGTTTGCTGTATCCCTGAGCTTTAGTAAAAGAGCACATTATTTAAGTGAGCGCTAAACTGCCATCCTGTCTCCTGCTCTATTTCTCAGTGCTAACTTATTCTACACTATGAAAACTTTGTCGATCCATATGGATCACAGACCAACCATTGTCCATTACACCATTAGTTAATTCAATTTCAATTTTCACTAGTCAATTTTATTGTGTTTTATTGTTTTGTATGTTGGTAAACTTTGTAAAGCTTATCCAGTGGTTGGAGCCCTGTAACATTGGCTGCCTGCTCCTTGGCCTTTAAACTCTTCATTTTCATCTGTGATTGTAACATTACTCAGACAGTTTCTGTGCTGCTCATTCGTGTAACAAAAGCTTCATAAATCTAAGCTGTAGGCCGTAACATATCAGCATGTCTCTCCTTGATGACTAATATAGCCTGTGGACATTTGCCTGGTAGTTTTCAACACTGATTGTGGCCTTGGTCAATAGAGCAAGGTCCCCTGTGTATGACAGGGTAAAAATAATGACTCTGGTGTGCAGGTTTCTGTCATGCATCACAGTCCTGTTCAAGACAGCCAGCAGAGAAATAAGATGAACAGCTCTGGATTAAATGCCTGTTTATTGTACCACTTTTGTATAAATAAATCATGTTTTGAATAATGGTCACTCTATCAAACAAAGTGGGGATTAAAAATAAATAGATAAAAACCTGATAACCCACCATTACTAATGAATCAGACTGAAGGTGTGTGCTGCAAGCATCATTCTAATCTTGCAGTTTCAGTCATTAAACTTTTTCTTGTTAATATGTAAAAAAAACAGAAAATAAATTAAGTTTATATGCTATATTCTGTATGAGCAACATACATGCTTATTAAAGAATCCAGAATGCATCTGTTAAAAAGAACACCTAGCTCTTTATTTTGATAAGCATACATGTGCACACATGCAGGGGGGGCAACCTTGATACAGTTAAGGCTATGATCAGAGTTTGTCCTTTTGAGAGCTGTCATAGACTAACTGTTGTTGTCTAATTTAGGAATTTAGTAATACCTTATTTTGTAAATTAATGCACACTTGTAATAACAGTAACAGTCTATAATACTTTTTAAAATACTTTCTAAATGAAAAGAGAGTTCAAATTTGAATGAATTTATTAACTAATATTAACTGACGAAAAAGCAGCCATGTGCAGTAATATAGGATATTGTGGATGTGATACATTGAGATACATCAAGCTGCATCATTGTTTCCTTTGTTGTTGACTGCTCTTGTGATTAACCTAGTGAATACCAAAGTGTGAGTGAGGGTAATAAAATCAGTTCTTAAGTAAGTCACAGATGTTCTACAATATGAAACTTTTTTGTTTTAAAACATTTTTTTTCTCACTTGAGCCCCTGCCCCCCAAATTGTCTGTGAACGTCCCTTTCAAGCGGGGAAGCCTGGGAGCTGGTTACATTTTACATAATTTCATTATACTTTTGTAGATGTAGTGACTCCCAGTGGCTTGTCAGAAACAACATCACAAATCATAATGGAGCTAATCACTTATATATATATCGAAATTAACTAATCAAAGTCAGTTGTGATAAACATGTAATATGATGTCATCAGGATTAGATGGGGGTGAAGCAGAACTTAGTCCAGGAATTCCCCCCAAAAGAAGGGAAAAGAGAAAATGTAGTATTCCAGGAAATGATAGAATAAAGAATTCATACCTTAGCAAGAATAGACAACAATTAGAAAATGTATCAAATATATGTATTTATTAGATGAATGTATTTAGGTGATATAGCTCTTATTAGAGTCTTTCTGTAGCCCAAGTGATCAAGAGGCCATACGAGATAAAGGTCTGGGTGAGCAGAGAACCAAATAAAAGTGTTTGCAGACAGAATATATGTGGCATGAGTGATTTGGGGTCTAAAATATAGAACATAACAAAAGGTCAGCAAAAACAGAACTAAAATAAAAGGTCATTCAACTTAACGAAAATTAAGGTCTGAGGACTAAATTATATTAAATGTCAACAGAAATCATAAAATGGTACAATCAAAAAGAATTTAATGGTCCGAGACCAAATTTAAAATAGTTTGCATGTTCGATGAGGGATGTATTATGTAGAACTTCAAGGTCAGAGGACCAAATTATATAAAGTGCCAACAAAAGTTATGGGGTCCTAAGATCATGCAAGGTCACGAAGAGAGTGAATGAGTGTGGGGGGTGACCAAATGTGAAGATCTGAAGAAAGTGCATATGGAAATGGAAATTTGCTTATATTACTAGAACAACCAGAGCCAGTGAGTAATTTAGTGCACGTTAAATGAGGGTTTTATAATGTTGAACAAAATAAAAGGTCAGCAAAGGACCAAACTTAAATAAAAAGGTGTTTCAGGGTTTCAGATTGGAAACTTGTTGAATTGATGCCCCTGGCAGCCTGTCGTTGCACTGAGTACAAAGAGAGGGGATCTGGTTTGAGAATTTAAATGGCACTGTGGGACAGAGGAAGGATGTGTGACCCGGCGCTGCCGCAGGAATTACAGGAGATAGATTGTGATGTGGATCTGCGGCTCTGAACATGGCAGTGATGATTTTCCCTTAGTAATGCTTTATCAGACTCGGGAATGGCAGAATGAGGCTGACTACATAAATGTCTATGCCTTGTAATATTTTTGATCTGTTGTGCAGAAATTTCAGCAGTCTTAGGTATGTATGGCCCACATACAGCCGGAGATGGGTCGGCTGAGTGAACCTGTGCCTGGCTGGTTGCACCAAGGAGGTGCAGAACTGACTGACTGGCATGAAGCAGAGGCTGCGTCGTTTTCAAGGGTTTTTAGACAAGAGTTAGATGATGTTCTGTATGGTGAAGGCCAGGGACTGCAGAGTGGTCGTCAAAATATTTTTTGTAGCTGAAGTGGGTGCAGGAGCGGGGGACAGGGACGATGTGTTTCTTATCTTCGGTCATGGGGCTGTGTAAGAAACCGCTTTGTTGGTGCTTTATGGTTGCAAACGTGTGCGACTAGGGAGCCAGCTGGAGTCGCTGGATCATGCTCGGGATGGGATCTGCGATCAGGTAGAATCAATGAACAGCTTGCTTGAACCGCCAGCTCCTATAGCTGAGAAGGAGACAGGCCTGGAGCTGGCATAAAGCCGCGATGCTGAAGCTCATCATTGAGGAAATCAGTGTCGCCTGTGGGACATTCATTGTGTTCGCTAGGCAAAGGCGCCTGCGCTGACCACCCGAAGAATTGGAAGTGATCTCTTGGAGCAGATCGATGCTGGGGTCTGAAACCTCCCGGAGATAGTCATTGTCAGAGGCTGACATGGAGATGAAAAACGATGTGAAAATAAGCAAGGTGAGTGAAAGATTTGCCTTTCAAGCTTCAATGAATGGCGGCTGACTGGAAGAGAGGAGAGGGATTTAAAGTTTTGACAGCAATCGCATGATTGGCTGGAAGGAGCAGTCGCTGGCGTCACTAACTATATCTTTATGATGCTGTTGGGAAAACCTAAGTTGTGTTTGTCCTGTTCGTGTGATGCTTTAATCTTACAGTATAGTGTTTTTGATCACCCAAAGGCTTTCTCGTGACTGCACTCTCACAATAACAGTGTTTATTGGAGTTAGACATGATTGCCTAATTCCAACTCAGATGTAACATGAAATAGTTGTATAATTACATGAAATAATGCAAATCCATGTGGCATGTTTTAACATGGCTGAATATGCACCTGAGTAGAGTCTGACTGAGATGGTCCTGTGCGCTTTGCCTGGGGAATATTTCTATGCATTTTTCTCATCTTTTTTTCCCACATGATTACAAGCTTTCTTTTTGTAAAACACCAAGGCATGAACTGACATGCACCTACACTACTGTAAATACGCCTTCTACAGTGGTAATAACCATTCCACAAGGAACATATTGGAGACATTTAGAGAAAGTTCAGAGAAAAGCCACCCCCCAGGTCAGGAAGTAAAAAATCATTCAGACCTCGGCCAGGTCTTCACAGAGTGGTGGGTAACTCTTGTTTGAAATGTTCCTGGCAACCAAGAAAACAACAAGCTCCTGTTGGAGCTCAGCCAGCAGCTCTCCTCCCCTGCTGATAATGATGCCCCTCGGTGGAAGTACATTTTGCACTACTCAAACTAAGAATTTCACTCCCATTTCCAACACCCATGTCTGCTTTCAATTTCATCACAAATGCCCTCCCCTGCTACTTTATATAAGTCTGTTCTAATGCAGTACATAAACTTAAGTGTGAGAAGTTTTTCACCTTCCAGTGTACACCAGTCCATAAAGGCCACGTTTGACTTGTGGGCCTGTGTTCACTAAGTGTCTTATCTAATCATTACGAATCATTATTTTAATCTTCGGAGTCATTCACAAAGTTCTGAGAAGCATTTTTTTTTATCTCACTCACTCATTTACATTGATCAATTGGTGGGTGACTGGTTAACTTGTTGTCCATGAATGTGGAATACAACCCAATACATAGGAGTAAGAAACAGCATTTGAGGAAATAAGTGATGTAAAATAAAGTGCCCTGTGAGGTGGTCAGCCTTTACTCTTACACTTTGGTTGAAAATATCAAGGAAGATCTTATTCCACAAGAAGGGTTTTCAGTAAAATTATATTTATAAATGTATTTTGTTATGTTGGTCATATTGTGAACTATAAATTCAATAGGATTTTAATCCAACATGATTTCTGACTGGACAGATCTAGTCAGACAGATCTATCACAGAGAAGAAATCTTTATTTTTGAATTTGGAGGGCAATCAATCATGTGAGGATTTACACAAGTTTTGGATCATGTTACAGGAATGAAACAGCTCCTCTCCTCTGTCTCTATTACATGATTCTGCCCATCTACAATGTTGCATCATTTTAAAGGTTCAGTGTGTAAGATTTAGGTGAAAGTGATATTGGCAGAAATTGAATATAAATAATCCTTGTGATGTTTTCACTAGTGTGTAATCATCTAAATTGTACGAATCATTGTTTTCTTTATCCCAGAATAAGCCCTTTATATTTAAGTACTTTATATTTACATCAGGAGCAGGTACTCTCTACGGAGGTCACTTTTACAGTAGCCCAAAACTAGACAAACTAAACACCTTTCCAGTTTTTATGATGGAAGGCTGCCAATTCAATTCAGTTTAATTTTATTTGTATAGCGCCTAAATCATAATATACATTATCTCAAGGCATTTTACATAGAAGGTCAAGACCTTAAAATCGTATTAATATAGAGAAACCCAACAGTTCCCACAATGAGCAGCACTTTGGTGACTGTGGAGGAAAAACTCCCTCGCTAACAAGGAGAAACCTCTCGAACCAGGCTCAATGTGGGAGTTCATCTGCCTCGACCGGTTGGGGTGAGCAAAGAAAAATGGGGAGGAGAGGAGAGATGGGTGGAAAAGAGGGGAGAGAAGAGAGAGAGATAGTGGGGAGGGGGAGGAGGGGGAGGAGGGAGAGAAAGGTGAGAGAGACCAGGAACACTTGAGCACCATTAGGTATCAGATCTGATTAGTTAAAATGTAAACAATAACAGTGTAAAGAAGTTATTGATTATTATTGATAACAGTCAATAAGAGAGAAGTGGAGAAGTGCTCAGTGCATGATGGGAGTTCCCCCAGCAGTCTAGACCTATAGCAGCATAACTAAGGGATGGTTCAGGACTCACCTGATCCAGAACTAACTATAGGCTTTATGAAAAAGGAACGTTTTAAGTTTAACTTTAAATGCAGAGATGGTGTCTGCCTCCTGAACCCAGAGTGGGAGCTGGTTCCACAAGAGAGGAGCCTGGTAGCTGAATGCTCTACCTCCTGTTTTACTCTTACAGACTCTTGGAACCACAAGAGAGCCTGTGTTTTGTGAACAAAGTGATCTATTTGGATAATATGGTGTCATGAGCTCTTTGATATATGAAGGGGCTTGACTGTTAAGRGCTTTAWATGTGAGGAGCAGGATCTTGAATTCTATTTTACAGGGAGCCAATGTAGAGAAGCTAAGACAGGAATGATATGATCTCTCCTTCTAGTTCCTGTCAGCACTTGTGATGCAGCATTTTGGACCAACTGGAGGCTTTTTACAGATTTCCTGGGGCATCCTGATAATAAAGAATTACAGTAATCTAGTCCAGAGGTAACGAATGCGTGGACTATTTTTTCAGCATCCTTCTGAGACAGGATGTTTCAAATTTTCTTAATATTGCGCAGTTGGAAGAAAGCTGTCCTAGAGATTTGCTTTATATGTGGGTCAAATGACATGTCCTGGTCAAACATAACTCCAAGGTTCCTTACAGTGGAGCTGGAGGCCAAACTGAAACACTCCAAGGTGACTATCTGTTCRGACAGTGATACTCTGAGATGTTTAGGGCCAATTACAACGACCTCAGTTTTGTCTGAATCTAGAAGTAAGACGTTTTGGGTCATCCAGGCCTTGATGTTCTTGAGACATTCATGAAGTTGAACTAAGTGATTAGATTCATCATGCTTCATAGAAATGTACAGCTGGGTGTTGTCTGCATAACAATGGAAGTGTATGTGGTGCTTTCTCATGATGTTGCCTAAGGGGAGCATATATAATGTGAAGAGTATYGGTCCAAGGACAGAACCTTGTGTAGCTCCATGAATAACTTGCATGGGCATGGAGGAGTCATTGTTGACGTTWACAAATTGAAATCTATCTGATAAATATGATTTAAACCAGTCTAGTGCAGTTCCTCTGATCCTTATATGTTGTTCTAGTCTCTGTAACAGAATCTTATGATCTATGGTGTCAAATGCTGCACTAAGATCCAACAGGACGAGTACAGAGACAAGTCCATCATCTGATGCCAGAAAAAGGTCATTAGGGACTTCCAATAGCACTGTTTCTGTGCTGTGATGGATTCTAAATCCTGACTGGAATTTGTCCAGCAAACCGCTACCATCTCAGTAATCACACAGCTGGTTAGCAACAGCTTTTTCTAGGATTTCTGAAATGAAGGGCAGGTTTGATATGGGTCTATAATTAGCTAAAACCTCTGGATCAAGTGTAGGCTTTTTAAGCAGAGGTTTAATAACAGCTACCTTAAAAGCTTGTGGTACATAGCCGGTTAACAAAGACATATTAATCTGTTTTAATATGGAACTGCCAATCAGGGGGGAAAGTTCCTTAAAAAGTCCAGTTGGGACAGAGTCTAATTGACAAGTTGTTTGATTAGATGATGCCACAGGTCTGTTTCATGTTTTGGAAGGGGAGGGTGAGGTGAAAGCTGCAATTTATGTGTATGTATTATATTTTAATGATACAACCACAGAATTCAGAAATGTTCAAATAATATTTGCATGAATTGAATAACTGACTGTCGAGGTGCATGTGTGTTTCCTATTTCTTGTAGAAGAATTGTCACTATTGCAGGAAGAGGAAATTCACAAGGACAGATGGCGGCGCTCCCCCCGTGAACCAAACTCTCTCAGAACATCAAGGAGGAACCGAAAGAAGACCAAAAGCAGCCATGACTGCCATTTGGAGAGGAAGGAGATGCGGGTCCGGGATCTTGGCCTTGGTTATGACTCAGATGAGATAATCCTCTTTAAATACTGTGTTGGCACATGCCACAGCTCCCGCAGGAACTATGACCTGGCTCTCAAGACCCTGTTGGACAATGGGAGCATTTCCGGAAAAAAGGTCAGCGGTCACCCCTGCTGTCGGCCTACCCGCTATGAGACAGTGTCCTTTATGGACACCCAGACTACATGGCAGACAATTAAGTGGCTCTCTGCAGCCAACTGCAGCTGTGTGGGCTAACTGCAAGAGGAGTGTTTATCTCAAATGCACAACTTCACAAAAGCTCTTGTGTGGAAGAGCAGGATGTTGTGAGGCCTTGTTTCTACATTGGGTGACCTACGCCTTGTTCATGTGGTCTGAAGCCAGGGCCTGAGTTGGGATCCACAGTGCCGTGGTTTGGATACCTCCGGACAGAGTCTGATGGCACCAGCAGGCTATCTGGCTGTCCACCTCCAGCAGAGCAGTGGAAGGTTTCATAAATGCCAACAGCAATAAGCACAGAGCAGAGAACTCTGCACTGTTCCATTTTATAGTATATCATATTGTCCTTCACTCTGCCTGCTTAAGGCTGTCAGGTGTTGCAACACCCCTCAGGCATGTTTGAGATTTTGAGCTCTTTGGCAATAGAAGCTCAAGTTACTGCTTAAATTCTAAGCACTCATCTTGAGTTGTATCAGCAGAATTCATAATATTTAATTAATGACATCTTTGTTATTTTTGACAGGAGCTCTCACCAGTTTTCTGATCATTTAGGTGA